ACAAACCCAACACCTCAGATCTGGAACAAGATAAGGATTCCAGGATCACCATATTTATTCAGTGTAGTATTTGATGAGAACAATTATGGATTAGAAAGAAAGATCATCAAAATCAGAAGACGTCAAATTATTCTAGAATGCAGAAGTCATGATGTTCATGGAAAAATCTAAACACTCAAAAAAGCTATTAAATTGATAAATTAACTCAGTAAAGTTGCAGGTACAAAATAAACATACAAAAAACTCACTGAAAAAGAAATCAACAAAGAAATCCCATTCACGATATCCACACACACACAAAAATCAAACATTTAGAAATAAATTTCACCAAAGAAGTTAAACATCTTGGGCTGGCACTGTGGCACAGTGGGTTAACGCCCTGGCCTGAAGCACCGGCATCCTATTTGGGTGCTGGTTCAAGACCTGGCTGCTCCACTTCCCATCCAGCTCTCTGCTATGGCCTGGGAAAGCAGTAGAAGATGGCACAAATCCTTGTGGGAGACCTAGAAGAAGCTCCTGGCTCCAGGCTTTGGATTGGCTCAGCTCCGGCCGTTGCGACAAATTGGGGAATGAGCCATTGGATGGAAGACCTCTCTCTCTCTCTCTCTGCCTCTCCTCTCTAACTCTTTCAAATAAATAAGTAAATCTTTTAAAAATAAGTGAAAATCTCTGCATTGAAAATTATCAAACACTGATGAAAATCATCAAGGACACCCAAAATGGATAGATATCCTTACTGATGGATTAGAGTAATATCATTCAAATGTCCAGGAGGATCCAAGATAGCTGATTAGGTAAAAGACATGTTGATTTTGACCATTGGAAGATAACTGAGGAAAAGCAGAGGAAATGCATTCTCATAGGAGATTTGGAGAGAAGTTTGCAGTGGGAATTCTACAGAAAGAAGAGACACTGTGGAGCAGCATAAACAGTAAGAACATGCAGCAGCAACTGGGGACACGACCAGTGACTCCCACCAAAGGGTGCTGGAGGAAATGCCATCTTCTGAGAGTGAGGTGAGAGCAGGCTGGCAGCCTGTGTCACTGGTGATAATGCCTGAGGGGAGAACCCTGTGAATCACACTGATTGAGTCTGGTCTGCAGCTGTAGAGAGAAACTGAGTACGCACCTAACTCCATGAAGGGAGAGCTCATTTCTTTCTCCCCATGCCCCAACAAGGGCACACAGTGACTAGCAGGGAGAAATCACCATCCTAACTGGAGCAGTGAAGTGACTAGAAGATTTTATCAGAGGGATCAGCCAGTGATTGTGAGTCTGGCTTAGAGGATTGGCAGTGGGCCCAGTTAGGATTGGCAGGTGTTCCCCTCTAACTCTCACAGGCACGTGGGCTCAAACTGCTAAAGTAGAGCACCCACATGCAGCAGACTCCAGGAATGCCGCTGTTCTGTGTACAGCGTTGGCAGATGGTGCTGAGTGGATGCCCTGGATTCCGTGACCATGGGAGCCTTGTGCACTATGGAAATTCTGAGTGTTTGAGACAGTGTGGGGTCCAGGTGGATCTCGGCACAATCAATGTTATCTGGCTTCAGAGGCTCACAGTTCCGGGAGTGCCTGGGGTGTGTCATGACAGAATTCCATGCTCAGACTGAGGACTGCGTAGATGTGCTTGCAGGGGTGTGGCGTATAGCCATTGTTGGCAAATCCTAGGCATTTATCAATTTGGCGGAGAGGATGTGAGGTTCTGATTATGCTATCCAGTAAGATCATACCCCCCTGCTGACAATCTAGATTTACCATGCCCACATGGGTGTCATCCTGAACTGCTGACCCACTCAAGTAATGAGGAAAGCTCTCTAGTCCCACTCAGAACACACCTTGGGATATCCACTGAAGGAGCAGACTCCACTAAGCCAAAGAGGTGTATGTCAAAGAAAAAAGCCATCAGAGAAGAAAACCAACAGGTGATTCCATAAATGCCTAAAAATAAGCATAGAAATTCAAGAAACATGAACAAGAAAATAATGTGAATCCCCAAAAGGAACACAGCACTTCAATATGAAGAAGTATATGAAGACAAAGACCTTGAAAAAATGCCTAAAAAGGAACTCAGAAGGATGATCATAAAATTACACAACACAGAAAAGCAAGTACATGAAATAAAGAGATCTATATATGACATGGATGAAGAATTTTACTCAGAGATAGACGTATTAAATAAAAATCAAACATTAGAAATGAAGAATTTGGGGCTGGTGCTTTGGCATAGTGGGGAAAGCTAAAGAAATGAAAAAATCAATATATCAAATAGAAAATACAGTGGAAAGCTTAAAGCACACGCTTGGTGAGACACAATAAAGAATATCCGAGCTAGAAAACAAATCCTTTGAAATATTTTAAGCAAAAGAAGAAAAAAAAAGAGGATTCCAAGATGGTTTCATAGGGAAAAGACATGCTAACTCTGACCAGGGGAAGAAAGCAGAAGCAAAGCAAAGGAAGTTCACTTCCAGGGAGAGGTGGAGAGAAGTTTGGAATGGAAATTATACAGAAATAGATGAGACACCATGGAGCAGCATGGAAGGAGTGGGTGCACAGCAACAAGCAGGACACCACACATGACTCCCACAGCTGATGGCTGAAGGAAACACCTCTCAGAGAGGTGAGGGTAGAGTGTGGCAGCGTGCTACTGTGATATTCCATGAGGGAGAACTTTCCTGACCACACCGACTCTGAGTCTGACCTGGAGCTCTAGTAGGGGGCAGGGCACCAACCTAATCCAGAAAAGGAAGTGCACCTTTCTTTCTCTCCATCAACCCACCAGGGCACCTGGCAACCAGTAGGGAGAAGGCACCAGCTTGACACCAACAAATGTTATATTAACTCTCAAACACAACTAGGGGATTTTACCAGAGGGAAAAATTCACATTTCCCACTGACTTTGAGTTGGGCTTGGAGGGCTGACAGGGGACTGGGCACCCACTTAGCTTGAGAGTATGGGGGCACCTCACAATCCTATCACAGGCTCCGGGGCTCAAACTTCCAAGGTGGAGCATCCACAGGCAGTCAGCTCTGGCATTGACTCTGCTCATAGCTGGATGGGGCAGGCTCATGGTGCAGAAGAGAGGGTCCTCTGCACAGTATTTTGGTGGGAGCCTTGTGACTATGGGAATTCTGTGACTGCATGATAGCATGTAGGGTATAATGTGTATCTGAGAAACCACTGTATCTAGTGTCAAGATGTTCACTCTCCTTGAATGCCCAGGGTAGGTCATTGCAGAGGGTTCCATCCTCACACTGAATACTGCACAGATCTTTGTGTGGTTCATGTGACAGCACGGGTGAGGGTTGTACTTACTATAGACTAACCCCATTCATCTCCTTGGAAGAGGGAAGGTGAGGTTGTGATGATGACAACAGACATGATCATACCCTCCCTCCGGCTGACAATAGAGGTCTACCGTGCCCAACTTTGCTGTCACCCTGGATTCTTGCCCCACCCTGAAGCACTCACCAGAGCCTGCTGGGTGGGCCAACTCCTCACATGCCACTGGGTTCACTAAAGGTACAGACAATCCATTAAGCCACAAGGCCATAGTTCAAATATAAAATCCACCAGTAGAGAAATCCAAGATGGCAGAATAGCAACAGGATGGTCTGATTTAAGCTAGATGAAATCAATATTTTAAAAAGGTGAGAAAGTACAATCTCAGGGTAAAGTTGCAGGGGCACTGCAGTGGGAGATCCTGCAAACGCAGTATAAATGGTCCAGACCTGTGCTGAACAGGCATGCAGCAAAAGATCCACCGGCTTGGATCCAAGGAAGAAGGACCTGCCCCAGCAAACTAGGTGACAGTGGACTCCAGGAGAACCACAGCACTCCTGATACAGTGGGAGGGAGAGCTTAGTGGAGCACAACTTTTAGAGTCCCACCCAGATACCCCAATACAGCAGGGTGACCGCTCACCCAGGGATGGGGGGGTGGCAGATCTCCCCCCCCAACCCCGCTATAGAAGAGACCTGCAGCCAGTTGGGGGGGGGGTGGCGCCATTTTTGTACATAGGCTGGTAGCCACCTCAGCTCCCGTGTGCACCCAGCAATTCCTGGGGTCCAGCTACCTCAGTTTGACCCCGCTCCCCCCCGCCACCCACTCTCCTCCCACAACCCTTCACCAGTTCTCTCCCTTCACTCTTCCCTCCACCCCATTTCTCCCTTCTATCCCCCCTCCTCTTTCTCCTCCCTTTTGTCCTTCCTTTCCTCTTTCCCTCTCCTCCCACCCTCTCTCATACCTCCCCTTGCTCTGCCTCACTACCCTCCCTCCAACTTCCCTCTCTCCTCCCCTCCCTTGCCTGCATCCTCTGTCCCTCCATTTTGTCCCCCTCAAGGTAGGGAGTCAGTGAATTGGGGTTAGTATTAGGGAAAATATTTTGATATTGTCTTTGTAATAAACAGATTAGCTGCAGGATAGGAAACAAAGCCATGCCACCTCAGTCCTCAGATGACAGCTGGGAGTCTTACTGAGTGCTACAGTATTTTCTCAAGTGACTCCAAATCTTACGTATCCTGAACAGATTCTTGAGGGGTCTTGTGGTCTAGATGTGCTATTGGAGAGGTCACTCTGGACTAGATCAAAACTTTTCTATCCATTTCTTTCCATTTTACAAAACACACTGTACAAAATATGACTACATCTGAGAGACTGCAGCAAGGGGCTGACAAAGCAGTCTGGCCAGCTGATGACTGACAGGTTTGCTGGGACATCTGACTTTCTATGCAAAAACCAGGAAAAATCCTGTGCAAGCTATGACAAAGCAGTCAGCCTAAATGGAAATTTCTTATCTATACCATTTAAAATATACTTAACACCAAAATTACACTGATTATTCCACCTTTAACATGTTTTGAAGCTAAGTAAATTACAACTCCTCTTGTATAGATTCTTTGCTGTAAAGTTAAGTGATGTACTGCTTGTTATTTTAGTTAAATATATAATTATAGCCAACATGGTTAACTTTCTGATATAAATAATTCCTAATTCTTTTTCAGATTTTACTATTTGGCCGGAAACTCCACAACACAGTTGAACAGAAGGCATTCCTATTTTGTGCTGAATTTGACAACTCTGTGCGATGTATGCATGTAAGAAAACATTCTTTTAGTCACATATTTCCAAGAACAAGAATGGAGTCTCAGCCATTTTTCATTCAACAACAAATATGTAATGGGTACTATATCTCAGGAATTGTCCCAAGTCCTGAGACTACAGTGAGGATGAAGTACATGCTACCACAGAGCCAAGGGGAGGCAGACGAGAACCAACTAAACAGGAATACTGATACACTCAGCACTTGGGATATACTGTGTATGTGAAAGTAACTGCAATAAATGTTTCCTTATACCTGTATCATTTCTCGCAATACTGGTATTATCCCCATTTTTTTATACAGATTCTGAGGTATAGAAGGTTATGTTAGCATACTCAGGGTTAAAAATCAGGATTCAAATCAGGCCATTGGCCTCAAAGCTCAGACTTTTAACCAGCATAAGGTACTGCCTAACTGAAGACAACAGGTGACATCATATTGCTTTCACTGGCTAATGGAGAAAAAAATTGAGGGATGAAAGCACAATAGATAGGCTGTCCGAAGATGAATTCTTAGCTGAGCTGGAGGCCTATGCCATGGAATGAGGCTGACGAGCAAGGCAAAGGCAGGAATCCAGGACTGATGGAGTGGAGGTTTGATGCCCTAAGAACACACTGAGTGCTTGAGCATTTTCAGAGATGCTTTACAAATAATCTAACCTGTGGATCAAAAACCTGAAAGTACATCCATGGGGAATTGGTTAACGAGGAGCTGGTTTTTTGAAAAAAAATAAACAAAATTGACACCCCATTGGCCCAACTAACTAAAAAAAGAAAAGACCCAAATCAATAAAGTAAGAGATGAAAAAGGAAATGTAACAACAGACACCACAGAAATAAAAAGAATCATCAGAAACTACAACAGGGACTTGTATTCCAGCAAACAGGGAAACCTATCAGAAATGGATAGATTCCTGGACACATGCAACCTACCTAAATTGAACCAGGAAGATATAGAAAACCTAAACAGACCCATAACTGAGACAGAAATTGAAGCAGTAATAAAGGCCCTCCCAACAAAGAAAAGGCCAGGACCAGATGGATTCACTGCTGAATTCTACCAGACATTTAAAGAAGAACTGACTCCAATTCTTCTCAAACTATTCAGAGCAATCGAAGAAGAGGGAATCCTCCCAAATTCTTTCTATGAAGCCAGCATCACCTTAATTCCTAAGCCAGAAAAAGATGCAGCATTGAAAGAGAATTACAGACCAATATCCCTGATGAACATAGATGCAAAAATCCTCAATAAAATTCTCGCCAATAGAATGCAACAACACATCAGAAAGATCATCCACCCAGACCAAGTGGGATTTATCCCTGGTATGCAGGGATGGTTTAATGTGTGCAAGACAATCAATGTGATACACCACATTAACAGACTGCAGAAGAAAAACCATATGATTATCTCAATAGACGCCGAAAAAGCATTTGATAAAAGACAACACCCTTTCATGATGAAAGCTCTAAGCAAACTGGGTTTGGAAGGAACATTCCTCAATACAATCAAAGCAATCTATGAAAAACCCACAGCCAACATCCTATTGAATGGGGAAAAGTTGGAAGCATTTCCACTGAGATCTGGTACCAGACAGGGATGCCCACTCTCACCACTGCTATTTAAAATAGTTCTGGAAGTTTTAGCCAGAGCCATCAGACAGGAAAAAGAAATAAAGGAATACAAATTGAGAAGGAAGAAGTCAAACTATCCCTCTTTGCAGATGATAGGATTCTTTATTTAGGGGACCCAAAGAACTCTACTAAGAGATTATTGGAACTCATAGAAGATTTTGGCAAAGTAGCAGGGTATAAAATCAATGCACAAAAATCAACAGCCTTTGATTACACAGGCAATGCCATGGCTGAGGAAGAACTTCTAAGATCAATCCCATTCACAATAGCTACAAAAACAATCAAATACCTTGGAATAAACTGAAACAAGGACGTAAAAGATCTCTACGATGAAAATTACAAAACCTTAAAGAAATAGAAGAGGATACCAAGAAATGGAAAAATCTTCCATGCTCATGGATTGGAAGAATCAATATCATCAAAATGTCCATTCCCCAAAAGCAATTTATAGATTCAATGTAATACCAATCAAGATACCAAAGACCTTCTTCTCAGATCTGGAAAAAATGATGCTGAAATTCATATGGAGACACAGGAGACCTCGAATAGCTAAAGCAATCTGGTACAACAAAAACAAAGCTGGAGGCATCACAATACCAGATTTCAGGACATAATACAGGGCAGTGGTATCAAAACAGCATGGTACTGGCCGGCGCCGCAGCTCACTAGGCTAATCCTCTGCCTAGCGGCGCCGGCACACCAGGTTCTAATCCCGGTCGGGGCGCCGGATTCTGTCCCGGTTGCCCCTCTTCCAGGCCAGCCCTCTGCTGTGGCCAGGGAGTGCAGTGGAGGATGGCCCAGGTGCTTGGGCCCTGCACCCCATGGGAGACCAGGAAAAGCACCTGGCTCCTGGCTCCTGCCATCGGATCAGCGCGGTGCGCCGGCCGCAGCGCGCCGGCCGCGGCGGCCATTGGAGGGTGAACCAACGCCAAAAAGGAAGACCTTTCTCTCTGTCTCTCTCTCTCACTGTCCACTCTGCCTGTCAAAGAAAAAAAAAAAACAGTATGGTACTGGTACAGAAACAGATGGATAGACCAATGGAACAGAATTGAAACACCAGAAATCAATCCAAACAGCTACAGCCAACTCATATTTGATCAAGGATCTAAAACCAATCCCTGGAGTAAGGACAGTCTATTCAATAAATGGTGCTGGGAAAATTGGATTTCTATGTGCAGAAGCATGAAGCAAGACCCCTACCTTTCACCTTACACAAAAATTCAATCAACATGGATTAAAGACTTAAATCTACGACCTGACACCATCAAATTATTAGAGAGCATTGGAAAAACCCTGCAAGATATATGTACCAGCAATGACTTCTTGGAAAACACCCCAGAAGCACAGGCAGTCAAAGCCAAAATCAACTATTGGTATTGCTTCAAATTGAGAAGTTTCTGTACTGCAAAAGAAACAGTCAGGAGAGTGAAGAGACAACCGACAGAATGGGAAAAAAATATTTGCAAACTATGCAACAGATAAAGGGTTAATAACCAGAATCTACAAAGAGATCAAGAAACTCCACAAAAACAAAACCAACAACCCACTTAAGAGATGGGCCAAGGACCTCAATAGACATTTTTCAAAAGAGGAAATCCAAATGGCCAACAGGCACATGAAAAAATGTTCAAGATCACTAGCAATCAGGGAAATGCAAATCAAAACCACAATGAGGTTTCACCTCACCCCGGTCAGAATGGCTCACATTCAGAAATCTACCAACAACAGATGCTGGCGAGGATGTGGGGAAAAAGGGACACTAACCCACTGTTGGTGGGAATGCAAATTGGTTAAGCCACTATGGAAGTCCGTCTGGAGATTCCTCAGAAACCTGTAGATAACCCTACCATTCAACCCAGCCATCCCACTCCTTGGAATTTACCCAAAGGAAATTAAATTGGCAAACAAAAAAGCTGTCTGCACATTAATGTTTATTGCAGCTCAATTCACAATAGCTAAGACCTAGAACCAACCCAAACGCCCATCAACAGTAGACTGGATAAAGAAATTATGGGACATGTACTCTATAGAATACTATACAGCAGTCAAAAACAACGAAACCCAGTCATTTGCAACAAAATGGAGGAATTTGGAAAACATCATGCTGAGTGAACTGAGCCAGTCCCAAAGGGACAAATATCATATGTTCTCCCTTATCGGCGACTACTAACTGAGCACCAAGGGGGAAACTTGTCGAAATGAAATGGACACTATGAGAAACAGTGACTTGATCAGCTCTTGTCCTGACTGTTGATGTACAATGTAATACTTTATCCATTTTAGTATTTTTTTTTGGTTCTAGTACCATTGGTTGAACTCTGTAATTAACACACAATTATTCTTAGGTGTTTAAATTTTAACTGAAAAGTGATCCTTGTTAGGAATTTGGAAAACATTATGCTGAGTGTAATAAGCCAATCCCAAAGGGACAAATACCACTTGTTCTCCTTGATAGGTGACAACTAACTGAGCACAAAAAAGGAAACCTGTTAAAGTGAAATGAACACTATGAGAAACGGTGACTTGATCAGTCCTCACCCTGACTGTTGATGAGTAACTTGATATGTTTTCCCTCTTAGTATTTTTTTTGTTTGTTCTACTTAATACTTTTGGTTGAATACTGTAATCAATACACAATTCTTCTTAAGTGCTGAAACTTAACTGAAAAGTGATCACTGTTAAATATAAGAGTGGGAATAAGAGAGGGAAGAGATGTGCAATTCGAGACATGCTCAAGCTGACTTACCTCAAACGGTAGAGTTAGAAACATACCAGGGGATTCCAATTCAATCCCATCAAGGTGGCATGTACCAATGCCATCTCACTAGTCCCAGTGATCAATTTTTGTTCACAATTGATCATAATGATAGGACTAAGAACTAAAGGGATCACAGAAACAAGAATAGTGTCTGCAAATACTAGCTGATAGAATAAAAAAGGGAGAGAATGATCCAACATGGGAAGTGAGATACACAGCAGACCCATAGAATGGCAGATGTCCTAAACAACACTCTGGCCTCAGAATCAGCCCTTAAGGCATGCGGATCCGGCTGAAAAGCCCATGAGAGTATTTCAGGCATGGAAAGCCAAGACACTCTGGGAAAAAAAAACTAAATGAAAGATCTCTGCGAGTGAGATCCCAGTGGAAAGAATGGGTCATCAAAGAAGGAAGTACCTTTCTCTGAAGGGAGGAAAGAACTTCCACTTTGACCATGGCCTTTTCTAAATATGATCAGAGTCAGTGAACTCAGGGGGCTTCCATAGCCTTGGCAGCTCATGACAAGAGCCTAGGGTGATTACTGAGGCCATAAACAAGAGTGTCATTTTGTTAACAACAGGAGTCACTGTGCACTTACTCCTCATGTAGGATCTCTGTCCTTAATGTGCTGTACATTGTGATTTAATGCTATAACGAGTACTCACAGTATTTTTCACTTTGTGTTTCTATGTGGGTGCAAACTGTTGAAATCTTTACTTAATATATGCTAAACTGATCTTCTGTATATAAAGAGAAACGAAAATGAATCTTGATGTGAATGGAAGGGGAGAGGGAGTGGGAAAGGGGAGGGTTGCAGGTGGGAGGGACGTTATGGGGGGATCCATTGTAATCCATAAGCTGTACTTTGGAA